GCGGCGGGCCACGGACGCCACCTGAGCGCGGCTCAGGCTGCGGACTTCGTTTTGTCCGAGCTCCGCGCCCCGCGGGGAACCAACCCCGTGCCGATGGCCCTGATAATGGAACCAGTGAGCAAATGGTCTCCGAGTCAAGTAGTGGACTGGATGAAAGGTAATGCCCGTGGTGGGGAGGGCGCGGGGTCCCCGCACGAGGGAGCGGCGCCCACCGCGGCAGACCCTGACACCAGAGCTTCCACCGGGTGATCCTGTGCACTGGCGGGGACGGGAGGGGGGCCGGGGTCCCCGATCTCCTTTTGTCTCTAGTCAGAGGGGCGCGGAGAGCATGAGGGCGGCGGGCGCCACCTGGTTGGAGGCAGGGAGCCAGGCAGCGGAATCCCGGCGCATGTTGCCCACTCCCTGTTCCCCTCGGTGCCCCAGGCTGGAAGTACGTGACGACCCTGGTCTTCCAGCTCAGTGAGGAGTCTGCCTCTTACCCCCGGGACCCGCTTCCCTGCTCACCCCATCGTCGGCCCCTTTGTTCCTGGGAAACCTGACGCCCCCGTCGGCGGCTGCCCCTGCCAGGTGTCTTCTCCAGCGCCAACTCTCCTGGCAACTTTTAAAACCGCATAATGGGGTCAGGGCACGGTCGTTCCCTTTTGGAGAGGGGCAGTCCCCTCCATGTTGGGTTGAGGATGCACTACTTTGGGGGGCAGGAAAACACGCTTCTCTTGGGACAGCCTCCGCACTGGTCTGTGTAGGCTTCCTTCTGCGCATACCACACGTCCTTCGCCTCCCTTCAGTCAGGCCGGTTAAGGCTTTGTACCTTGGATGGAGCTTTTTGTTAGGAGCTCAACGCCAGGTGCAAGGCAGTGCACGTTCAACTGCCCCGTCATTTCTTCCATCTTGAAGCCACCCCGGGCAATTTCTAGGACCACAGTCACAGACCTTCTTCCTTCGCTCTTCTCGTCGCATACTTGGGCTTTCTTTAGTCTCTGGGCTTTCCTGCCTCACTACCTCCCTCTGTTGTCTGAGTTCCAGGGCTTGCAGAGGGCCTCTCCTGTCCATACCAAAGCTCAACTCTTCCCTAAAGATTTTGGGAATGCTGAGATGTGGACAGATGGGATGGAATAAAGGATCTCTGGACACACATGGAAGACACTTGGGAGATGTTAGAGCTTTACCGAGGTCTTACGTGAGCATAAATTCTAGGTAGATGAGTGGGGAGACTCAAGGCTTACCGTCTCTAAAAATGCCTGTTCTGAAGGTGAGAGAGCTTCCTTCTTATTCGTAGGGATTGTTTAGGAGTCAGACTTTGTAAGCCCCAGGTATATTAGAACAACGGAAGGTGGAATGATTGGGACAGACTGAAAGTGAGACGAACCTAAATTTTTCCCTCTAATATTTTTCTTCAGCTGACTGGGCCTTTTTCTTATTCATGTGGACTTTGCTTTATCTGTTTGCTTTCCTTTTATCCAGTATTTTCCCCGTTATTCCTCATTTACTTTTTTTTCTAATATGTGGAAAGTGCTTTGTAACTGCAAAGCACAGTATAAATGTGAGTGAATTGAATTAAATCTATTTCATTATTTATTGACTACACCCTGTGTGCAGTGCATTGTGCTAAGATGCCATGGGTGTCATAAAGATGACTAAGACAGAATCCTGCAGTGTCTTACCTTTTCTGCTGTTAATTCTCTTTACATATTTGCTATTGAAATTCCAGCTTCGTAGGTTCCCACCAATTTCCTTCCCTTCCCTTCCCTTCCCTTCTCAGATACAAACATCTGGCTTCTCAGCCATGGGGAAAAAAAAGAGCCAGAGTATTTTCAGGAAGAAAAAATCCTTAATTAAAACCCTTCGAATTTATCATAAAGGTTACTTTAGTTTGAGTCTGCTACTGAAATATTAAAAAAGCTATCCTGCCTCCGTGGGAGTCAGATTACCTTCATATTCTACCTCTTACAAATTCCCATGATACTTGTGAGTGCAGCATACTCCATCTTCTTCATTTACCACCCAGTTACATTCTTGCAGTCTCCATTCTCTCCATAGTTTAGATCCACTGAAGCAAGAACTGTACAACGTATGATGCATGTAATGTAGCACACAGTGTTAGTTTTCTAGTACACTAGTTCTTTAAACATCTCTTCAGCCTAAAATGCAGCTTCTTTAAAGTTCGGTTAATGTTATTAGCTGTTATTTTATATACTTTTTTTCTGGTACCGGAGTTTGAACTCAGGACATTGCCCTTGCAAGGCAGGCACGGTGCCACTGAGCTAAATCCCAGCCCTATTAGCTGTTTTTTTAAATGCCCATTATATTTAAGCCAACAAAATTTTTATACCTATTGATGATGCAGTTTAGAGCTATTTGAAAAGATTAAATGGGTAGCCAAGATAGGATTTATGTATATTTCTACAACAAAGGACTGGAAAAGTATGACTGATACACTTGGCTGTTTCAAGTCCTGAACTGCTTACTGCTGAAATTTCCATAAGATTCAAACACTTGTAAATTTGAGCTGCACTATCAGAAAACAAGATTTAAAAAATGGATGAAGCAAACATCCTTAAATTGTAACTTATAGTGTTACCTTAGTTTATTTTTACATATCTACTCTCTTCCCCAAATAAACTTTAACAAAACATATTTTAGAAATATGTTTTACCCTTTCTAAAGATATATACTGCTTAAAAGTCAACTGCTTATTTAGGAAGTAACTTTAAGGTGGTGAAACCTCATGTAGTGTTGTATAATGTATAGTATTATAAGGGCAGAACCAAAGAAGGAACAAAATTCTTAACCCCAACACTGTGGGAGTTCTTCAGAGCATGCTGCTGATGTGACAGTTTTATCATCTTCAACATTTAAAGCATGTAGCTTATGCTTTCAGCTCGTCACAATGAAAAATAGTTATAACTCTATAAGGTACATGCTTTATGTTCTTTCTAGGATATTTTTCTCTCCACTAAACAAAAAGGAACCATTAAAGAATGGATACAGTCATTTATGATTCTGGGCAATTTATAGAAGTGGTATAGAAACTGTCATTAGAGAGGGAAATGAAGGGCAAAATGTGCTGACAAGATTTTTGAGCTTTGGTAGCATATATTCAGGATTATTTATGAAAGGCTATATATTGCAATTCATTTTGAGCTATTTTTATTAAAATATATTGCAGGTAGATGAAAAAATAAATTATAATTGTTAATAAAATATAAGGAAATATTTGCAGTTTTGCTCATTCCCATCTCTGTTACCTGTAAAATCCAATACTCACTAAATTTTCTGTCAACAATAAAGATTTGATATGACACATTGTCATGTTGCAGTGAATACACAAACTCCTTCTGAGTCAGTAAAATAAGTAGTTATATTCCAGACTCTTCGTGTGTGTGTGTGTGATATTGTTTAATATTGGTCATTTGCACTGAGCTACATTCCCAGCTCGTTTTTTAAAATTTTGAGACAGTCTCACTAAATTGCTGAGCTGCCCAGGCTGAGGTCAAACTTGTGATCCTCCTGCCTCAGATTCCCAGAGTACCAGGACTACACACTTGCACCACCATGCACAGCTTCTTAGATTATCCTGATAATAATTTTGGCTATTTGGAGATGGCTTATAAATCTTCATATTAATTTAAAAATTAAATTTGTAAAAATATTTTTGAGAAAACCAAATACTCATTATTTAGCACTTGAAACTAACCTTTTTGGAAATCACATTCAGGGCTCTTGTAGTTTTGATAAAATTGTAAAACACAAGCCCTTTTCAAAGGAAAAGCAAACCAGTTATTTGAGAAAGCCATGGGCAACAAAAGTAAGCCACTATATATTATTTTTGCTTAGTGTATTGTTGTGTGTTATTTCTCAGCTCCTCTTTATTCCTTTGCAGACACTTCACAATCTTCAGTTGTTAAGAGTCCCCAGTTCTTTTCCACTTTTTTGTTCTGCTTACAGAAGTATAACAAAAACCTTTGAACATGTCAAAGCCTCTATTATTAGTTTTATTATTAATTTCCTGCCCATCTCACACCCAGTCATTTCAATTTTGTTCTCACATCTTTTTCAACTTTGAGACCTATTAAGTATGCCTGCATGGCTAAAATAGTTATTTTCTACAACCAGCTCTCTCCATGACATTCTTTTATGATCTCTATTCTCTTTCTGGTTCAAAGAAAATGATTGTGATTTCCAGAGTCTCTGAACAAGTCTTCCTTTGCTGGTCTCTTATGGTCTCTGTAACTTAACCCCAACCAGTGTAATATTATAATCCCTAAAATCATCTAAAAAATTGAAGATAGCCTTTTCTCATCCCATTCCACAGTCAATGTCTCTACTCTTTTCTGTTTACTTTATCCATTTGCTTCCAGAATCATTCCCTGACTTCTAATTTCTATTCCTATGACTCAGCCATCTTGAGGACAGAAAATGAAACACATTATTTTAGGTATAAAAGCCAAAACCAGTGTTGCATACAAACTTATAATAAAGGAACATGTAATGAAATAAAGTCTATTCAGTATAAAAGTTAAATGCTGTAGAGGAAATGTATTTGATAAGGCAAAGAAGTTTTGACAGGTGAAATGATCTGTAATAATTCATGTTTTTCTCCCTCCTAGCACCCAGAGCTTAGCTTGAGGTTTTTCTTCATTTGATAAAAGAAAAAAATGTAAAAATTTTGAGCAAAAGTGTCTTGAAAGAGATACTGAAAATAAATTTTGTCAGAAACTTGAAGCTGTATATACACTCTAAGAAAATTTCAGATTGATTATATCACTCCCTTTTTAAAAATTAGATTTTTTTTACATATAAGATAATTTCAGATTGATTATATCACTCCCTTTTTAAAAATTAGATTTGTTTTTACATGGTGACTAAATAGGCACCAAGTTTGGGTTTGACATTTTTGGCCTATGAATTCTTGTCATTTTATGCAAAAAAGACATTTACCTTGATATGTGGAGTTCAGTCAGAAGAAACATTTTTATTTATGGTGTCATTAACTTGTGCTCCTTAACACTCATGATTTAGTCCTATTTAGGAAGAAAGAGTATATTTATGTGGATATATTCTGGTTCTCACACATTATTTACACAATTCATGTGCTTAGAAGTTGCTTTAACTGATTATTTAAAATAAATTATTTTCTGCTGTTAAGAAATTAGCCTG